AAACGCCGATCGCCCCCGAAAAACAATGCATGCCAGACACGACGGCAAACCCTGCTGCTAGAGTCGAGGAAGACGATGACGACTCAGTACAGATCATCGCTGAGATTCACCCTGTCAGAAAGAGAGTTCGTAATAAGGGACCATCTGCAGTTGAAAAAATGGGTAATGGGAAAGAGAATGCAGCCGAAGAGAACTCTACCCGTGAATGTAGCTGTCAGGAGATGTCGAATTCTGGTGATTTGCAGAGAGCAGCAAATCGGAAGGCTGTGAACCGTTCCAAGGCAGCGCGTACCATGCAGAGGAAAGAAAAACATGGCGAGTCTACTCCGATCATCAGTGAGGTTCGCCCTGCGAGAAAGAGGGTTGGTGCCCGGCGCCGACTTCATGCTAAAGTCAAAGAAAGTAGAAGAAAGAACGTAGCCCGAGCGAAGTCCACCCGTAAATCTGTACGTCAGTTGTCTTCGGGTTGTGGTAATTTAAGACAAGCAGTAAATGAACCGGGAGTTAGCTCTTCCCAGATGTCAGCGAAACGAAAACATGACGACTCGATGGAGGTTGTTGATGAGAACGAACCTCCGACAAAGAAAGTTCGACATCCTTACCCGTTTCAAGCTGAAATGATTAGAAATTGGAAGGAGAAGGTAACAGAAGCGATGAGCCGTGAGTTTGGACGTCAGCAATCTTCGACTTCCGGCTATCCACAAAATGAAGCATATCAACCGGCTGTTAATCGCATCCAGATGGCGGGTGCTACCGAATTCAAGGACAAACATTACGAGTCAATACCGATTATGAATCACGTTAACCCTACGAGAGACAGGGATGGCACTCACTGCCAGTTCAATGATGAAATGATGGATAATCGAAATGCGAATGTTACCGAAAGGTTGTTCAATTGTGAATATGGAGGTCAGCAATCGTCCACTTCTGGCTATCCACAATATGAAGTATATCAACCGGCTGTTAATCGCTTCCAGATGCAGGATATGACTGAATTCAATAATAAACGTTACGAGTCAGCACCGATTATGAGTCAAGTTTACCCTGTGAGAGACAGGGATGGCACTCAGTGTCTATTCAATCTTGAAATGATGGAAAACAGATATTCGAACGTTACTGAGGCAATATTCAATCGTGAATATGGAGGTCAGCAATCGACTAGTTCTGGATATCCACAATATGAAGTATATCAACCGGATGTCAATCACTTCCAGATGGGGAGTACTACCGAATTCGAGGATAAACATTACGAGTCAGTACCGACTCTGAATCAGCCTTACCCTACGAGAGAGGGGGATGGCACTCGGTGCGTATTCAATGATGAAATGATGGAAAATAGAAATGCAAATGTTACCGAAGCACTGTTCAATTGTGAATATAGAGGTCAGCAATCGTCCAGTTCTGGATATCCACAATATGAAGTATATCAACCGGATGTTAATCACTTGCAGATGGGGAGCGCTACTGAATTCAAGGATAAGCGTTACGAATCAGAACCAATTATGAACCAGATTTACGCTGCGAGAGACAGGAATGGTACTCAGTGCCTGTTCAATTCTGAAATGATGGAAAAAAGAAATGCGAATGTTACCGAAGCAGTATTCAATTGTGAATATGGAGATCAGCAATTGTGGAGTTCCGGCTATCCACAATATGAAGTATATCAACCGGCTGTTAATCGTTTCCAGATGGCGGGTGCTACTGGACTTCAGGATAAACGTTGCGAGTC